CTCGGAATGCGGCGCACGTGGTTTGCGTGTGCTTTCCTCGGGACGCGGCGCACGTTGTTTTCGCGTGCTTTCCTCGGAATGCGGCGCACGTGGTTTGCGTGTGTTTTCCTCGGGACGCGGCGCACGTGTTTTGCGTGTGCTTTCCTCGCGACGCGGCGCACGTTGTTTTCGCGTGCTTGCCTCGGAATGCGGCGCACGTGGTTTGCGTGTGCTTTCCTCGGGACGCGGATCAGTCGGTGGTGCCCTCGGCCGTTGTCCGTGTGTTTCGCCCGTGCGGACATTCTCGGTCGGTAACCGTGACTCCCTCGACTAGTCGGTGTTTCCCTGGCGCATTGGGGCCGGGTGCGCCTTCAGGTCCTGTACGTGGACCTGGCGGTGCCAGCGTCCGCGGGTGTCCCGTAGGTCGACGACGACCGGCGAGATTATCCTCCGGACTTCCAAGGGTCCCACAAATTTTGGGGCCAGCTTGGCGTTGAACGCCTTAGCCTTGTCGGACAGGACGTGGTTTCTCTTCCATACCAAGTCCCCGACCTTGGGCTTCCATTCCCGACGACGCAGGTTGTAATGTCGTTCTTGGCGTTGGAAGGCCCGTGCCAAGTTCACCCTTACGAGGTCGTAGGCCTCTTGCAACCGTCGGTGCGTTGTCTCGGGGGTCAGTGGGTTTGCCAGGTGTTGTCGGTCCTCCGGATGAGGTCGAGCGAGCTCTCTGCCATGGTTGAGGTAGGCAGGAGTGTGTCCCGTGGCCTCGCTCCAGGCCGTATTGAAGGCGTATTGGAGGGCGGTGATGTGCTCATCCCACGTCTTCTGGCTCCGGCCCACGTATTGAGCGATCATGTCTTTAGTGTCCGGTTGGCCCGCTCGACCGGATTACACTGCGGCGTGTATGGCGGCGCGGTGCGATGTTGGATGCCGAAGGCGGTCAGCAGCTTTCCTAGCTGTTTGGACTTCAATTGCGTCCCATTGTCCGTGATTATCCGCTGTGAGCACCCATGTCGGTACACGACCTGATCGGTGAAGGCCCTGGCGACATTTGCTGCAGTGGCCTTCCGCAATGGCGTGACTTCGAGCCACTTGGTGAATCGGTCCTGCATTGTAAGGATCCATGTGTGTCCCCGGTTGGAGCGGGGTAGTGGTCCGACCAGGTCGATGGCGACCTGCTGCCACGGTGCCGTGACCAGGGTCGTGTATAGAGTCCCGGCGAGTCACTGTTGTGACACCTTGTGGGCTATGCAGGTTGCGCAGGTGCGGACGTACCGTGCGATTTCCCGGAGCATTCCCGGCCAGTAGTATTGCTGGGCGACGCGAGCCATAGTTTTGGCGGTCCCCAAGTGTCCAGATGCGGGGTCGTCGTGCCATCGTCTGAGCAGGGCGGCACGTTCGTTGGCACACATCGCTTCCACTGCTCGTCGGCGGGCATCTCCCGGAAGTCCAGGTCGTGGAGGATGTGCCGGTACAGGAGTCCATCCCGCATCTGGTAGTCGGGCCAGTCGGCGGGTCGGGTTTGGACTTCTCGGCTGATGCGGTGATACCACGGGCAGGGCGGCGTCTGTTGTGCCGTGGCGACTTCGGGTTGACGGGACAGCGCATCAGCCACTAGATTTTGGGTGCCTCGACGGTATTCGATCTCAAAGTCGTGCTGTTGTAATTCGAACAGCCAACGGGCCAATCGACCTGACGGGGCTTCCAGGCGTTGGAGCCACCGGAGGGACTGGTGATCGGTGAGCACGGTGAACCTATATCCCTCCAAGTAGTCCCGCATCCGGCGAATCCCCCAGACTACAGCGAGGCATTCCAGCTCGGTGGCGCTGTAGTTTCGCTCGGCGGGGTTCAGTGTGCGGCTGGCGTACGCAATGACCCGTTCTCCTTCGGCCAGTCGTTGCGTTAGGACAACGCCTAATCCGTGCGTGCTGGCGTCGGTCTGCAGGGTGAACGGCAACTCGAAATTGGGACACGCGAGTACCGGAGCGGACGTCAGAGCGTCCTTGAGGCGTTGAAAGGCCTTGTCCTCGACGGCGGTCCAGGTCCAGCGGGTGTTTTTGCGAGTCAGGCGGGTGAGGGGTGCGGTCACAGCGGAGAAGTCCGCGATGAATCGTCGATACCACGATGCCATACCCAGGAACTGACGAACTTGCCGGAGGTTGGTAGGCGGTGGCCAATTGACGATGGCGCTCACCTTGGCTGGGTCGGTGCGGATTCCGTGGCGGTGACCCAAGTAGCGGAGGCTGTCCCGGCAGAAGTGGCACTTGTCGGCGTTGAGTCGGAGTTTGGCGTATCGCAGGCGCCGAAAAATCTCGGCCAGGTGTTCGAGGTGTTTTTCAAACGTTGGACTGGCCACGATGATGTCGTCCAGATACACGAGGACGTTGGGCTCGAGCTCGGGGCCCAGGATAGAGTCCAAGAGGCGTTGGAACGTGGCGGGAGCCGAATGTAGTCCGAACGGCATGGTTCGGAACTGCATGAGCCCCCTCCCCGGCACGGTGAACGCGGTGATCGGTCGGCTTTCGGGCGCCAGCGGGACTTGCCAATACCCGTTTTTAAGATCCAACGTGGTGAGATATTTGGCACCGCGTAATTTATCGAGTGTAGCCGCAATATGTGGTAGGGGATAGGCGTCCTTTTGCGTGACGTCGTTCAGTTTCCGGAAGTCGATACAGAAACGATACGCGCCGTCCTTTTTTCTGACGAGCACCACCGGGGAGCTCCAGGCGCTTTGAGACGGTTCGATTACGCCGGCTTCTTCCATCTTGCGCACTTCCTGGTCTATCACGGCCTGCATGGCTGGATTACGCGGTCGGTACCGTTGTTTAATTGGTTGGTCGGTCGTCAGGCGAATACGATGCTCGATACGGTCGGTCGGACCGCGTATTGTCTCGAAGGCAGCTAGCTCTCGGTGTAGGAATTCTCGTAGCTGCTGGTCTTCGTCCGTGGTGCGTGGCGTTAGCCCGGCCGAGATCTCCCCTACCACGGGTTGGTCGCGGGTCTTGGTGATCGGGGGCGCGGGGAGAGTGATCCCGAGTTTAGCCCAAAGATCAATGCCGATAAGGATCGGCCCGCTGAGGTTCGGCATGACTTGGAACGTGTGGGTCACGGTACGATCGATAATGGTGATCGGTAGATCCACCGTGTGGGTAATGGGGACCGTGGTGCCGTTAGCCAAGTTGATCTGTTGGGTTACCCCCCGAAGGGGGTGGTCACAGTACCGGGCTCGCTTGGCCGTGGCGGGACTCACGAACGAGACCTCGGAGCCGGAGTCGAGCAGGGCCCACAGGTGCCGACCGAGTAGCTGGATCTTCAGATGCGGCCTAGGCGTGAACTTTATGGCGTTCTGTCGGGACGGGTGGCGGCCGCTGGTTCCCCGGCCCGTATGCCGTTTCCCGACGGTGGATGGCAGTCTCGAGTGAACACGCCGTCCTTGCCACAGCGAGAGCAGAATTTGCGCGGTGGCTTCTTACAGTCGAGGCGTGTGTGGCCTCGCTGCTTGCACCGCCAACAGCATTCTTCTCTGTTGTAGGCGGCGGCCGCGACCAGCGGGCTTCGGGTCGGAGGCTGTTCTTCCTTTTGTCGGCGGAGTATTCTTTCATGTTCGGCTGCCCTGGCGCTTAACTCCGCGATGCTGGTGGCTTCTGTCGCTCGGATGTATAATTGGTAACTGGGGTTCAAGTTATTGTATAGCAGGCGGACTTTCTCTTGTGGCGAGTAACCCCCAGCGCGCCTCATCATGGTCAGCAGGTCCGTGGCGTACTGGTCGAAGGGTTCTCCGGGTTTTTGCCTTCGGGCCTGAGCATCTTGCCGTAGTTGGTCTTGGTAGTCGGGCGGGAGGTACTTCAGTCGGAAGGCGGTGCAGAAGGCGTCCCAGGTGGTCCAGTCCTCGTAATTGTTGCGATACCACAACAATGAATTTCCGCGTAGCATCTCTGGTAGCCCCAGCAGGAACAATTCGTCTGCGTAACGGTAGGATCGCTTCAGTTCCTCTAGACGTTCGAGGAATGCAAACGGGTCTTTGCCATCGAAGCAGAGGCCCCACTTTCGGATTCGGTCTAGGATTGCGGTGGGGTCGAGTGGCATTGACTCGATCTGGGCAGGGGCCGGCTCGGGTGGTCCCGGCGTCGCTTTTTCCTCGGTTGGCATGTCGGCGGTGTTTTGTTCGATGAACAGCTCAGGGTTTTGGATTACGAATTGGCGCAATCGATGTCGTAACGTGTCGGTACTACCGGTATTGTCGAGGCCGTGCGTGGCTAGTTGGGTGGCGAGCTGAACTTTCGAAAGACCGTATATCCAAGAGATTTTCATCGGAGTGTGCACGCAAGCCGTAGTCTCTACTGGACAGGTCCCTGTTCGGGCGCCATGTAACGCGGTCACCTCGCTCGACGCTCGGATCG